CTTTCTTCCAAGTGTTTCAAAATGGATTCCTTAAGGATCCCCTCCAGGATTTTTCTGAGAACTGAGGTGAGACTGAGCGATCTATAGTTCCCTGGACTGTCCTTCTTCCCTCTTTTAAAGATGGGCAATACATTTGCCTTTTTCCAATTGTCCAGCACCACCCATGATCGTCACAAGTTTTCAGATATAATGGTCAATGGCTCTGCAATCATATCAGCCAACTCCCTCAGCACCCTCAAATGCATTAGATCCAGACCCATGGATTTGTGTATGTCCAGCATTTCTAAATAGTTCTTAACCTGTTCTTTCTCCACTGAGGGATCCCCACCTCCTTCCCATACTGTGTTGCCTGCTGCAGTAGTATGGGAGCTGACCACATCTGTGAAAACAGAGGCAAAAAAAGCCTTGAATACTTCACCTCATGGTGATCTCTAACTTACAATAGTGATAGAGATGTAGCCGTGTTAGTCTGGTGTAGCTGACTATTTGATCTGAGGAAGTGGGTCTGGCCCACGAAAGCTCATCATCTAATAAACCATCTTGTTAGTCTTTAAAGTGTTACATTGTCCTGCATTTTGCTCTAACTTACAAGCTTGTCCAAAAGAACAGAAGTGATGGAGCCCCACTAACCTAGAGCATCTGACAAGAACTGCACAAGGAGGCAATTCACTGCAGGGCTTGAATCATCTCAGAAGTCTGTCCTGGGACATGGAAGCAGCTGTGAGAAAGATTAATATGTCCTGAATACAGACCTGGCTCGGAGCCTGATCTGAGGCAGTAAACACAAAGGGAATAGTCAAAGTGTCACACTTTCATCAGAGGTGTTAAAAGCCCAAATTGCCAGGTCCCAGAAAGAAAAGTGACTTCAAAGTTGTTGATGTGCTAGAGACAATGATGAGTCTGATCATTTGGGAGTGAGAGACTCCAGAGTCTACCTAATGAGGAGAAAGTGGTTAATGAATTGATGTACACCTTCAAAGCATGCTTTGCAGGAGCAGGGAATTGCTGGCTTAGTCTGCTTTTATCTAGCACAGTGAATGCTGCTGGGATTCCGAGTGCATACTGCCCTGGTCTCAGTCAATTACTATCAGTTTTATGTTCAAATCTTCCCAAACAGAAGCACTACAAGCCCCTCCTTCACCAAATCAGCTCCTGAGCCAAGAGACAAGGCAAGGCTTTGGCTTTTTCTTCCCCTTCACAAGCTAGCAAGGCACTGTAAACTAGGGATGTAAAATCCCATTTCATTGGTTAATTGGTTAACCAATTAAAGGGGGGAAGGTGGGGGCCGGGCTGGAGTGGCTCCCTGCCCACCGTGGCTGGGAGGGGCTGCTCCAGCCCGCCCGGACAGCGGCTGCTCTGTAGCGTTGCCAGATAGTCTCCCAAAAAATACCGGACACAAAAAGTCCCACCACTCCCCCCACCCCGGCTAGGCTTCTGAAGTGCCCAGAGTGGCGATCGTGGCCCTGCCTCCAAGCTGGGAGCCTGTGATTGCGCAGAAGCCTGGCGGGGGGGGGGAGAGGCCCAGCCACTCCTGCCACCCCCCCCGGGAGAGTCCCAGCCACTCCTGCCACCCCCACCAGGCTTCTGTGCAATCACAGGCTCCTAGCACCGATGGTGGCCCCGCCTTCCAGCCACTCCCCCCGCCCACGCCAGGCTTCCGTCCAGTGCGCAGCCGTAAAAATCAGAGAATATCAGACATTGCACATTGCACATGTCCGGTATTCTCTGATTTTTTTTTACCGGACAAAGAGCGCAAATACCAGACTGTCAGGTAGAATACCGGACACCTGGCAACCCTACTGCTCTGTACTGCAGGAGGAGCCCCTGTCTGCAGCAGGCCCCATGGGGCTGAAGCAGCCCCCTGCCCATGGTGGGTGGGGAGCTGCTCCAGTTAACTGGAACCTGTTAAGGGTGATGCTTACCAGTTAACCGATTAACCTTTCACACTCCTACTGTTGATGGCCTCAAGAGACAAGCGTCCCATTCCCAGCTCTACCAAACCTGCTGGGTGGCTTGAGCAAGTCTCTTAGTCGCTCTGGATATGTCTACATTTGCACCCTAGTTCGAACTAGGGATGCAAATGTAGGCATTCAAAATAGCCAATGAAGCAAGGATTTAAATATCCCACACTTCATTAGCATGATCTCGCGGGCGCGTTACTCCGATCAACAGCTGTTTCGGAAGTGAAAGTGTGCCCATTGGTTCAAACTAACGTTACTCCTCATAAAAAGCTAGGCCTAATAATTATGCCACCTGCATTGCCCTGATCCCTCTCTACCAGTTCTCTTTTTTTCTCTGTGCCAAGGTAGCCAGGTTCACACTACAGCCTATGACATAACATACATTGTGCAGAAAAGTGAATAAAGCACCACACGAGCAACAAAAGTTACACCAACATTAGCACTCGTGTGCACGGCAGTATGTTGATGGGAAAGCTGCTACCACCAACATAGCTTCTGCCAGTTATGGAGGTGGCAAGGCATTTCAAAAAGAAATGATAATGCCTCCTCCAGCCTGCATGGGCTCACACATCTCACATGACACTTCAAGATTTTGTAGCTCACGTACTTATGCACAGCTGGTAAAATTTCTGCACATTTTTTTGCATGATAGAGAAACATCCCTACACAATTCCTATTCTACAGGGGAAGGTACACTGAGCTGCAAATCAAGAGCTTATGAATTTTAATTCCAGGTCTTCTACTAACTGTTCTTAATATTTCTGTTCATTTTGCACCCCTTATTAATCAATTCCACAACCTTAAAAGGAGGCGACTATTATTCACTCATCTTACAGAGAAGATAACAGAGGCTGAATAAATCACTGCAGGTGAAAGAGAAAAAAGTTCCCATTCTAAGAATACCCTTCTAACGAGGCCCAGATCTGATCCACTTTGCCATACTGCCTCTCACATGCAATGGGACAAACCCTGTGCTTGCCAAATCTCTTTCATCGTTTGCTATGGCAGTACCTCGGGCCTAAATGATAAAAAACAGCGCCCCACTGTACAATACACTATGCAAATATAAAAAAGACTGACACAACCCCTAAGGATTATTTACAATCTAAACAGACAACAGAGACATAAGGCGGTGGAAAGAGACATGACATGCAAGTATAATGAAAAACATGGAAGTAGCAAGCGTCATGTCAGTTCCATGATTCAGTTTTCTTTTGTTAGTTAAAGCCATCCAGTTGTTATATTAGAATTAGCTAGAAGGACAGACAAAAGGGGGGTGTAGTTGGAGGAAGATGGAGCAAAAAAACCAATCAGGGGAGAGAATATACCAAGTGAAAACTGCAGAAAGCATCTCATGACATCAATGTCCAATGGTCCCTGCTGAAACAATGTCCAATGGTTCTGCAGCAGCTGGGGCACCTTTAGTCTCTGGCTGGTTTCTTTCGCTAAGACCTCACAGAGAGTGATATGCAAAGTCTTAATGTTCCCAAAGGGATCTCTCAAGTGCCTAGGCCACATATACAGATTCATAAATCTGCTACTGCCTGCGTGGAAATGGATTAGTTCTTTCCTTCAAGTGGTAAAAGCTCATGCTTTTAGATCCAGATCTCCCCACCTTATTTTGTACAGATGGCTCAAACAAGGGCACATTACACATAGCTTTGTGCCTTTAATGTATCCTAACATTCAGAGCTGAGGAAACCTAATGACCAGCTTTTACTACCAGTTCGCCAATAGTTGTGGAGCTTGGTAATAAAACACGTGTCTCCTTCCATGGGCCATGTTTCATAGACATTAACCATAAAATATACCTGCCACACCAATTATTCCTACAGCAAAAATGTTCTGGGCTACTCATCTGATATTCTTCTAAACACTCATGTGAAAACAAAGTAATTATAAATTCATATGAGAACCCTGGAAAGGTTGAAATGACGCTACACTGCAAAACATAGTTAGAGGTGAGTTTGAATACTGTACTCTACTGATGTGTTGTATTACTGTGAAGTTTGATTGTCCCCTTAAGAACAGAGTGGGACACATTGCAGGCTTTGTCTGATGGAAAATGTTGCTTGTGCGAGTAGAGAATAGAAGAGTTTGTCCAAAAAACCCAGAACTTAATTTGCTAATCTTATCTTTCCAGAAAGCAAGCTTCACTCCTGAAACTGTAACATTAGTTCTCCTGCGGTAGCGCTTCAGAGCCTTTTGGCCTTTGGGTCACCAGTATGAATCCAGCCAAATTCAATAGGGGTTAGCAATTGTTCCCATCTAATTGATGCTTGGTAGTCTTTATATGGTACCAGGTTGGTGGGTCCCAAGGCCAGCTCTCAAAGCATAGACTTATCAGCATGCTTGGTGGCACTAACTGGCAGACTCAGGAGATACACCAAGATCTTCACAGACTGTGGAAATTGAATTCTCCTGGCTTCACCTAGAGGAAGTGTTTCCTAATCAGTGGTGAAAAATGCTGGCAGAGCAGAGTATGTGGAAAGATTGTACTACTGTGCCCCAGAGATAAACAGAATTTCATTCACCATGGCTGCAAGAGCATTAAAAAAAAAACAGATTTTACAGTTGTATTCTTGCAAATATTTCAATGACCTCACACATAATATGCAAAAAACATTACAGGAAGCTATACAAAACATGGTAGCTATGCCTCCCCAGTTTTCAGATGTTCTAATTCTCTAGGGCGGCAGTTTTCAACCTGTGATCCACAAATCTCTGGAGGTCTGCAGAATATGTTTAACATTTCCAAAGCTATCTGAACCCCCCATTCAAAATGTTTAGGGATTTGCAAATGAAAAAAGGTTGAAAACCACTGGTTTGAGGTCAAACCCTGCAATACTATTGGATTCTGCTACTATCGGATTCCACTAGCCAAAGAATCCGATAGTAGCAGATTCTCCAGCCCTATCAGGAACCCCTGTACTCAAAAAAGGCAGTATCCCAAACTCTTTCTCCTTCCCTCCCTCACATAGTCTCTCTCCCCCCGACGTTGTACCCTTTTGGCAAAGCCCCCCCACTCACACTCATTACCTTTATTTCTTCCTGGGTTATATCAAGATTTTTACTTGGAATGTACTCTCTCTCTGGCAGGCTCCAGAGGCCTGGGGATGGGGTGAATCCTCTGACATATCTGGCTGGCTCTGAGAGGGATAGGAGAAGCACCGTGTTGCTGACAGGCTCTGCAGGGGGGTGTATACCCCTCTTGTCACTGTTAGTACAGTCAGGGACAGGTTGGTAGCTTAGTAGATCCAGTTCCCCTTCCCATTTCCCTCGGGCCACTCGTGCTATTTCTGGCTTGCGCACAGTGCTCCCTCCCATTTCTAAACACAGGCAATTCCTCCAGCTCCCCTGCCCCAACAAGAGAGGCTGGCTCCTTCCTGATACCACTGTCACTAGCCGGCGGCCCACGGGCCTTGTGCAGAACTCAAACATCAAGTGGTATCTCTCAGACCACAAGGAAGGATTTCCCCTCTAATCTACACCCAACATGGCTCCTTCTCACTGGCCCATCCTGAGCCTAGCCTGACGTGCCAGTCCCTGCTGCAGTGCTTCCCAACCCCCGCCCCTGCCTGAGGTACCAATCGCTCACACGCTGCTTCCCAACCTCCGGCCCCAGCCTCAGGTCCCAGGGAGGTCAGCCCACATAAGCACCCCCACTCCAGCTCACCTGCCCCTTGTAATGCAGAGCGTCAGCAGGCGAGGTTATGAGGGCTGACCAATGACCCGCAGGCGCAGGGTCTGAGCTAGCGTCTTTGCACGCTGGCTCCCCTATCTCTTAATATTGCAGAGCCACAGCTGGGGAGGTGTGGGATGCGCCGAGTCGACAGTGCTAATCGATAAGCTCATGCTTTTCGGTTAGGCGATGAGTGGCTTACATCCCTACCTCAGACTGGGATGGGGGTTGGGAAGCAGTGTGAGAGGGGATGGTACCTCAGGCCTTAAACGCTATGGGCTCGTCTACATTGGCCCCTTTTCCGGAAGGGGCATGGTAATTTTTTAAATCGCAATAGGGAAATGCGCGGGGGATTTAAATATCCCCCGCGGCATTTAAATAAAAATGTCCGCCGCTTTTTTCCGGCTTTTAGAAAAGCCGGAAAAGAGCGTCTACACTGGCCCCGATCCTCCGGAAAAAGCGCCCTTTTCCGGAGGATCTTATTCCTACTTTTTTTACTTTAATTGGAACCCTTTCCCTCATCATCTGCACTTGCCCCCTGCCATGTCTCTCCTGAACCCCTGTCCCTTGGTGCCTTCCCCTCCCCCGCTGCCTCTCCTCGCCTCCACACAATCCAGTTCCCTGCCTTCTCCTTCCATGTGGCGGGGGCACGGGGCGCACCAAAGTC